TAAGAATCACTGGTCTAGGTAATCCCAAAGGTGTTGGGTTGAGTTGAGGTCAGGGTCAATCAAATTATTTCACACGAAACTGGAAAACCATTTGTTTATGGATCTGACAATGTTTACAGGGGCATTGCCATGTTGAAACAGGAAAGGTACAAACCCAAACTGTAACAAAGTTTGAAAAACACTACTGTCTAAGATATAATTGTGTGATTCAGCATCAAAGGTGCTAAATTCTAAATTCAGAGCATATCTATTATTGAGGGATTGTCTCCACACGGCTCTCAACATGGCGATGGCTGAGTCGGAGTCTAGCAGCTACCGGTGCAAACAGTGCTGACAGAGCTAACAGTGTTAATCTGGGGGGAACCAAAGGGTGTGTGTGAGCTTTCGTGACAACACCGTGTCAGCTGTAAAAGCTGTATGAGCGCAGAACAGCAGTAATTAGCTGTGTGTGGCACACACATTGGACTCGCATGCACTAAAGTGCACCACTCGCCGGCCTAGATACCAAAACAAAGAACAGAGAACCCCGGATTAAAACACACACAGAGGGAGAGAGTGACTTCATTCTCTGCTCAGGTAGACATTACTCCACTATATCTGAATTTCGAATGTAGCACCTTTAAGATTTCCCTTATTGGAGCTAAGGGGCCTCCAGCAAAACCAGTTAAACAGTCCCAGACTAAAAGTATACGGACGGGGGTATTCACCTTGGGGCTGTGAGTGAGCTAAGCAGTGCAAAAAACTTGAAAATGTCAACCAGAAGAAGTCAGTGAAACAATGCTTTTTAGCTTTGTGTTATGTTACACTTGCTTTAACCCTGGAAATCCTCAGTGAGGGTCTTGCACTTCGTCTGGACTTTGACATCCCAACGCAAGAGAAAGAGTTTCTAAAGAAGAGGGACGTTGTAGTGGCACAGGCTTTGCAGAAGCTTTTTGGAGCTCCATCTGATCCTAAAAAGGTAGAGTGCAACTTTTTCTGTTACTTTTGCCCTTGTACCCCTACCCACCACCCTACCTATGTTAATTTGCTAATAATTTTGCTAATCAATAAAAAACACAATGTAATGCCATAAAGTGTACCAGAAGTCAATACCAACATATGCTACAACACTATGACGTCATGAACTCTGTCACACACACACAGCGGGCCACCAGGCTTGCAATACACTGACGGACACCATGACAGTGTGTACCAGAGTCACACAGCTGACAATTTCAAAGCTGATGCGCTGAGGTTTTACAGAGAAAGTGGGTTGGGTTACATGCGTCCACGATATTGTGTCCACGACAATGCATGCAACATTGTGGTTGCTCTCTTCTGGACAGGGGACCTGGGGACTCAGTTGCCTCTTTTGTGTATACACTGCAGCTGTGTAAGATGATGGATTTAACCTCTTTGTGCATCAGGTTATCTTTGCAGCTGGATGGCTTGGCAGTTTACAGTTAATGATCTATTAACAAGGTTTGGCTATGGGGCAGAAAATAATTTCTTTATTAGTATCCTTAGTAAAAATGTTAAAATATGTGACCACACTGCAACATATTGTCTTGCATATAAGACAGCATAATCAAATTTTGAGTTACAGGACACCAGGTACAGGCATTATTGTTACCCACAGGATCAAATTGAATAACTTTGGTGACTTTTCATCAAGGTCTTTCATCTTTTATCAGTGCAAAATTTCAGAATTTGTCAATACTTATGACCAAATAGCCTCGGCTGTACTTTGCGTTTTTTTCCTAAAAGCGTGCTGACTTTGGAAGTAAGATGGTGACCAAGGTGAACATTAAACATAAACTGCTAAATATCATTTAGCATTTGGTCAAACTGCTAGAGCCACACCTCTCTATTCTCTGTTCAGGTGCCGAAGATAGCATTGGTGGCTTCAGGGGGAGGTTCCAGAGCAATGACAGGCCTGCTTGGTAGTCTAAGAGGCCTGAAGGAAATCGGGGTCCTGGATACTGTCAGTTACATCACTGCTGTTTCTGGATCCACATGGTGAGTGAACCATTTCACTAGTCAAGTGTCCTCAGTATCTTCATTTTAATCTTCTCATTTTACATAGATAGGCAAAGACAGGCAATCCCTCAAATTTTGGGCTGTGCCTTATAGAAAGCTTGTAATTAAATACAGGGCAGGGGGGTTTTAAAGAGAGGGCAACCTCCGAGGCTGAAAAATGAAACCGATGTGGAAGTGCCAAAAACTGCAGGTCAGCAAATTGTCACTTCAGGCTGGCTCCAAAGAGTCAATCCCCACAGACCTCCATGTCAAAAGGCCCAACTTTAAAGCAGAAATAAACATGTTTGCAGCCTGTTACAAAGAACGGTTTGGTCTCTATAGCCAATATCCTTGTTCCTGACAACAGAGGTTGAATTTGTATCTAACTCACCTGTTTAAATTGTATTTAGGCTTAAAGGTATGCATAATTAAGGGAATGGCCACTTTGAATGAAAGGTGGGGGCCATCACAGCTGCAAGCTGTCTGCTAAGTGTCGCCTCAGCTAATTCGAGTTCACTAAACTTAACCTCCTAGCCAAGTTTGTGCTGTTGGTGCCTTTTTGAGAATTTGTCATTCAAATATCGGAAAGATAATAATACTTGCTATGGCAGGCTGGGGAAAGACAAAATGTATGTCAGTAGAGTATTATCTGCATAGTTGTGGTCGAAAAAGTCACGGAAGAGAAAAGAGAAACTTGATGGACCCCGGTAGTAAGACTGCCAGGTTCAGATCATAGGCTTTAAGAAATATGGACGTAGTTTCTGTGATGTCACCCAAAGGCTTCTGACAAACCGTTGTGAAGCCCTAAGTGAGTAGCTCTGGTCTTCGTCACCTTGGCAGTGAAGACACAGCCTAAATCTGAAAAAAAGAATGGATTTTCGGTGGAGCTGAGGCAGGCCCGGGTGACGCAACAGTCTAAGTTACCTTGTAAGTGTGGTCCTTGAGGTAGGATGTGAAAAAGAAGAGTGCCGAGAGGAGGATCTGTTGCTTCACTGTGTCAAATGCTGCTGAAAAATCCAGCAGGATGATGGACAGGGAGCTCTAGCAATTTAGAGTTCTTTTATGGCAGTGATAGTTTAGTGGCCTACCTTGAAACCAAATTGGTGGGGTAGCTGTGGGGAAAGTTTCTGCAGAAAGTTTCGTGAAGACAGCAAGCTCAAATGTTTCACAAAGAAATGGAAGAAGAGAGACAAGTCTGTTATTCTTTAGTGTCGAGTTTGGTTTTCTTTAACGGAAGTTCACTCAAGCTGCATTTAGAGAGTGAGGAAAACAACCAGTTTTCAAAGAGCATACCTGAAGTGGATGAGGTAAGAGCCATAAAGAAAAAGGTGAGAGGGGATAGGGTCAAGGAGGCAAGTGGTTGGGTGGGGGTACTTAAACCAGTACTTTATTGGAGGAGAGTGTTGAATAGGAAGTTAGAATGGGATGCAGAGTAAGTGGAGAGAAGAGACTGATAGCCAAGTCCTCAGCGTGCTTCGATTTCTACCATTTTCTTTCAGCTGCGTTAACATATATGTACCAGGTAGACTCTATGTCACCATTGGTCTCGCAAAGTTCAGAGTTGAATTAAATTAGCAATTATTAAAACAGCAAATGGCATGTAGAGACATTTTCAACCCATTATACACCGATTTTTTTATAAATTTGGTAAGAAATATCAATATTTCGTGCCTGGTTATATGAATCGATTTTCAATCATTGTACCCCTTTAAAGACTATTACTTCCCTTTTGAACAGGGCTATGTCTGCTCTGTATCAGGAAGCTAACTGGTCACAGGAGGACATGGACAGCATTATTTCAGCAAAGAAGGAACAGATGACGAAGAATGTCCTGAGTGCCTTCTCTCCTGAGAAACTCCAGTACTACAGAGAAGAAGTTGCTGAGAAAGAGCAAGAGGGTTACACTGTGTCACTCATTGATATGTGTGGCCTGATCGCTGAGCATCTTGTCTTTGGGAAGGTGAGCAGCTGATGAACACTTTCTTTTCTCACTTTAATCATACTGTGTATTACTTTGAAAGCTTAAAGATTATGTGTAACTTTCAGAAAGTCCTTGTTTTTAAAGACACCGGTGGCAGTTAAGTTAGAGAGTGAACATCGGCCAAAATAGTGACGTGACACACACAAGACTGAATATGATTGAATGATTGGCATCTTGTAAATAGAACCATTGGCTCCGTGAAAGACCGCCACCCACCACAAAACAGATCGGGGCTGATGGCTGGTAAATCGGAATAGCTTGCCGTTTGAAAGTTACTTTCAGCTAATACGAGATTTTTAAATCGCAAATATCAAACAAGTTCAATGTTTATAATCCGATATCCATAACAGCTGAGGACACAATTACAAATTGTTGCCATCCACACACTATACAAACAAAACTGGTAAATTTATCTCATTATGTGTGGGATCCCTCAAATGTTTGACATCTGTTAACATTTGAAAAGTATGGTCAAGCCTTGAAGCAACCAACAGCAGATCCATGCATCCATGCAACAGTTAGCAGGCTAACCTTAGCTTAGGTTGTGGTTAGCCTAGTTTGCAGCCCCTGCCTTTCATTGCTGATTGGCATAATACACAAGTTAGTATCTTGGATCATGTTATAGTGAGGCAAGGTAGCACACTAACATACAGTATATCTGCTCACAATTAAGTTAGCAAGCAATCAAGCTACAGTTAGCCAGCTAGCTATAGTTTACTTTGCATGGATCTGTGTTGGTTGCTTCGTAACATTAGTTGATTAGGTAATTTGCAAACAGCAAGCTAGCCAATTTATCAGCCAGGTCAGCACTGGGAGTCTGGATGAATCTGCCTCAAGACAGTATTTTGCTAATTTAGCTGGTGAGCAATTTGTCTGCGTTATGAATTACAAAATTCGTACATTAAAAAAAGTTACACACAACCAATCAAATTAGGGCATGTCTTTGAACCCTAAATTTATGTTTTTCAAACGTTATAAATAATATTATTAATAATAAAATGATATTTGGTTGGAATTACAGAAAGTCACCAATACCCTGTCTGAGCAGCAGAGAACAGTGAATGAAGGCCAAAACCCTTTACCCATATACACTGCCGTCAATATAAAGGATAGGGTAAAGGGCTGTGAATCTGAATCTGGTAAATATCCTGGATGATATTTTAGTATTTGTGTTTGTATTGTAATGTCTGTTTCCTGAAAGTATTTTGTGCAAGGTGACTGAAGCCCAATGACTGTAGATAGCATGTAAAATATGTAGTGTTAAACTCAAGTGACACCTATGAATGCCTAGTTCTCATATCAAATGTATCATTAATTCTGCAACTGAAATGAATATGGGGATATTCAGCATGACCAGGCTGATGATATAATAAAGATTCAGGACACAAACAGACCCCTAGAAGAACTTGAACAAAATTGAAAACTGTGAAGGAATGCTTGATTTTGTAATAATAACAAATCTTGTTGACAGAGTGGTGTGAGTTTACCCCCTATGAGGTAGGCATCCAGAAGTATGGGGCATTTGTCAAAACTGAGGACTTCGGGAGTCAGTTCTTTCTCGGTCATATGATCAAGAAACTCCCAGAAGTCCGCATCCCTTATCTGATCGGTAAGACCACTGCTTCTGTTGCAATGTCAATGCATGGTAATACAATACTAATTTAAGGTAATTCCAATACATTTTTGTCAACATCAGGAATATGGAGCAGTGCTATTTCTGTCAGCATGACCCAGCTATGGACGTTTGCTACGGGGTTCAAGCCTGTTTGGAGCACCTGGCTCGGACCAGAAGTCAACAACATAGGTACAGCTACTTTATTTTATAGTGCAGAAAAACATACATCCACAACTTAGAATAAGGCTGGCGTTTCTACAATTCTCTTGTAAACAAATCCTATTAAAAGCCAAACCAAACAAATTAAAACCAACAAATTGTTTCATCTTTCAATACTTTTCTACCCTGCGTTTGGAACTGTGTGCCGAGCCCATTGTTTGGCAAATATCTTTAGGAATGACTGCGTTAGTAAGTGCTTACAATACAACATCATGACCCACTGTATGCGGGATAGATTCAAAATAAATTAAAGTGCCCGCATTCCTCATATTGACATATCAAGACATATGAATTTTTTATTTTTTTTGGTCATTTCATGGGATTGATGACAATAGGACAAAATATAGAATATTCCCAGCTTGATCATTTAAACTTCAAAGCATTATCTTGGATCATTGAAGAGATTCAATGTTTACACAACAAACCATAAAACAGAATTTTAAAACCTTTTTAGTGTATTTATTACTATCATGGTACAACAAAGACTTCCATGTAAGAGCATAATAATGTATGTATTATTGAGATGTTGTGTTCTTTTGACAGACGATGACACTGAACCATCAAATCAGGACACATACCTCACAAATCCAACCACAGGTATCGCCAGCGATGTGACTGATTTCTTCAGAACACGTCCAGTCATTGCTGAAATGTACAATTTCATGCGCGGACTCTTCATGCACAAGGACTACAATCAACAGAGCAACTTTGTTGCCTGGAAAGGTATGCACTCACAGCACAGTACACTTTCGCCCACAATTCAAAAAATTTGGAACAATGCTGAGCCTCTAGCTCTCTAGCCTCTAGCATGTACATTTCAGGAGTGATCACAACTGATCCCTCCTGACTGTTTATTGCACCTAAATGCGGTCAGGAGTGATCACCATGGATCCCTCCTGACTGATACATAAGCATGAGTCATTCCACTGGCCCCAACAAAGAGTTTATATATAGAGCCCTGGGCATTATCATCAGCATACTGAAGCTTCAGCTGTGGAAACCTGGGACTTGGCCTTAAACTTATTTTAGTAGAAGAGCTGGCCATCTGTTCTTTATTAGAATACAGGTTTAGGCTGATGAAATGAAGAAAGACTGTAATGAATAGATAAGGGGCAATGATACACACTACTTGACACCAGTTTTACCTTGAGAGACTGTGTCTCGTTCCCCTTGGTGCTAGGGTGAGTCTCAATGTACAGTGTAGTGTACAGTGTCACTCTGTTGACCCAAGGTCCTGGAGATTGAAGGAGTTGAAAGCTTTTGTTAGATCGATGTAGGCCCCATGCCAACTGGCATTGAGAGGATGTGGCCCAGACTTGCACAGAAGGCCTCCTTTATTGTCTTCTGTGAGTAGTGTGGGAGCAAAGAACAGCTTGAAGCAAACCATATATAGGCGTGGACATTGATGGGAAAGTTCAGTAAGCTGGTTGGCCAAGCTGGTTTTAATGGCAGAGCCCACTCCATGTATCTGAGGATAACACACAGGTTTCCTTTGAGAAGAAGGTGTAGCTTCCTTTTTCCCCCACCTGCCCCTCTTCTTTCAGTCTGATTTCAGAGGGTGCTTTCATGCTATGATTTAAACCTCCGTAGTGCCATTGCACCAATGACGGTTCACTTGGTTTATTACCTTCAGGTTGATGCCTGTATCTGACATATTTTCATGAGAGACAGGTGCAATAGTGTGGACTAAATCAGAGTCGGGGGACTCCCTCTGCCAGAGCCCTCCTCTGTCTTCATAGCTTTTGGGATTTCCCCCATGTTCTCCAGCCACCATCCTCCACCTGCTCTACCATTTCCCTCCACCTTACCATTACATGTGGCCCTATCAGGAGCTGAGCAGACAGCATCACTTGGGATGAAAGGAAGACCCACATTTATCTTCCATGACCACATTGTGACTTTTGAATTTCCGGAGAAGGTTCAGCTAAAGAACTGACGTGCCCTTTAATAGCATATTGAGCACCATTTTGACAGCATTTCCAGCCAAATACACAATCAAAGTAATCACGCCTGCTTCGACTCAGTATGCTGAATTTCCCAAGCAACAGTGTGGGACACACCACACAAAACAGAGATCTGCCACAGATATTCAATCTCAGCTGCTGGGGCAAGGCAGCATTCCTGCACATGATAACCATCATGTGCAGGAATGCTGCCTTGCCTTTTCTTGCCTTTTCTTACCTTTTCTTGCCTTCACTCTTCAGGCGGTTGCCTGAAGAGAGAAAAGTTCGACACAGAACACAATTGACAGCATGTGCAAGCCAGTTATTTCATTTTCTGTTTCCTAGTCAACCACATATTCTTGCAACTGAAGTTGAAGATTTGTTTGTTATTTTCTCCTTCTCTATGTTCTGTCCAGAAACACATCCAGATGCCTTCCCAAACCAACTGACACCCAGTGACCCCACTCTGTGCCTGATTGATTCTGGTCATTCCATCAATATTGCCTGTGTGCCTGTCCTGCGGCCAGAGAGAGATGTGGATCTCATCATATCTCTGAGTTACTCGTGGGAGCCAGAGCACATCTTCAATGTAAACCAGAATGAGGAGGCGCTCATCTGGGCCGAAACAGAATGTTTCCTGAATGTATTCCATCAGAGGGATTCATCCATTAACATTACTCTATGATCATGTTTATCTATTAGGTCCTGTCGAAGACAGCTGCTTACTGTAAAGACCATGACATCCCCTTTCCCAATGCTGACTTTGCCAGTCTGGAAAAGGAGCCTCAAAAGGAGTTCTACATCTTCGAGGATAAGGAGAATCCCAAGGCCCCGATAGTGGTTCATTTCCCACTTGTCAATGTCACGTACAAACACTTCAAACGCCCTGGTATGCCCATTTGAACGAGTTGAACTTCACTGCAACAATGTTGCTTCTATTACTTTATTATTTTTTTCTTTGTGCTGTATATCTTGAAACAAATGCAATGCAATAGGAAGAAACCCTTCTCTTCAAGCTAGTCTTGTTATTGTAGAAGTCATGTGAGGATTTTTTACGGGGCGGGGGAATAATGGCAGGACAGGATACCTGTATTGCTATATTCCATACTGAAATGATAAAATACTTTATCAGGGCATTGCAGCATATATTTACAGGGTGACAGACCTGTATTTAACATTTTTTGTTATTTAGGCAATGTATGCCTTTATTAAATAGCTACAGTAGAGAGATGACAGGAAATAAGGCGAGAGAGATGGGTAATGACATGAAACAAAGGTCCCAAGCCAAATGCATACCAGGGTCATTGTGGTGCCTTTGCCCCAAGGCCAACAGGGCGCCTCACGCTGCCTACTGCAGCTAATCTTAAGCACTACATATGAACTTCTAAATTATTAATGATCTGCTGAGTTACTAATGAGTAGGTGTGATTTGACTTGAAAGGCAACAAAACTGCCTCATGTATTTCTACACCCAATAAGAACAAGACATAGACTTGTGTATTATATTGTGCTTTATAGGACATCATTTAACCAATTGTGTCATTATCTTATGAATTTACAGGCGTGAAGCGTGAGACGGAGGAAGACATAAGAGCTGGGGAGGTGGATGTAAGCAGCAGCAGCTCTCCATACATCACTAAAAACATGACCTACTCAAAAGAGGATTATGAGGCTCTGGTGGATCTGAGCTCTTATAACATATCAAACAACAAGGAGAGCATCCTTTCGGCTTTGTGTAAGGCCCAAGAGAGGAGCGCATCCAAGTGAAAGAAGTAAAGGATAAGATTTATCAAGCTTCTTTTTACAGAAACAGGTTTATCTATGTTGCCTCGACAAGTCACTGATGTTTATTCCCACACCTCTATATTAAAGCTACAGTAATTAGGACACAGGATATTTACTCAACAACATTATAAACTACTGTTTTGAAAATAAACATCAATGTCTTACAGTCTTGATGTGGGACATAATAAGCTTCTCCAAATTAGACCAACTTCGTACTTCCAGTATATCATCTGAGGAGGTAGGAAGTAAGACTATTTCAAAATAAAAGCCAAGGCAATAGAATGACTGTATGCAAGAAAGTCTTATTTACAGTCTTATGATGCAAGCGCATACCTGGGTAACAGAGTGGGCTGATGGGAGTATGTTAGCACCAGTAGTTGATTAAAATTGGTTTAATATTGTGCAGTTATTCAGTTTTCGATTAATGAGTGCATTGTTTGGTGCAACACAGTTCGTAATATAGTTTAATATAAGGTATAATTGTGTGTGCAGAGTTGTTGCTGTTAGTGCTGGTAGCTGGTATTTAATTATCGACTGTTTCTTCTGTTGCTTGACTAAATGCAGAGCTTGGACTGGATAAGGAGACAGAGTGAAAGTGTTTACTTTCTCTCCCCGTAGATGGCAATATGAGTGTAGTGAAATCATAGATTTAGATACATGCCTGTGTCTTTGCTAAATATTTGGCTTATACAGATGGCTTTCATGCTGTTTATTTCATTTGGTATTGGATGTTTATTAGGGGTGTAACGGTTCACAAAATTCTCGGTTCGGTTCAATACGATACAGTGGTGCCACGGTTCGGTACGTTTTCAATACAGCAAAAAAGCAGAAATGCCAAATCCTCTCTGGTGAGACTCTCAAGGGGGCGTGTCTGATTTGATTCTCTGTTTGGGCTTTCGTTTTCTTTTACAAAGCAGTATGGTTTGGAGAAATGGGCTGGTGAAGGAGTAGTGTCACGGGGCTCAATGGCATTAAGCATGTTAATGCTTATTTATCACTACAGAGTAGGGATATACCTTTAGCCCTGTTTGAATCAGGAGGGAACAGATACCTAAACGCTGCGGGGAGAGTTTGTAACGAATATTACATGACTATTCATGTTAGGGCTGCACGATTATGGCCAAAATCATAATCGCGATTATTTTGATTAATATTGAGATCACGATTATTTATCACGATTATTCATTCATTTTAGGGACAACATCTTTTTATTGCACTTTCACGTTTAAATGAACAAGAGCACTGCTTCCACTTCCATTGTTGTGCTACATTCCAGCTAATGTACACGCCTCTGCATCAAAATACAACGTATACGGTACTGATCACCTGAAGCAAAATATAAATAAAATGTTTACCCAAAATGAAGGGCTAACTAAAAATAAATATGTCTGTTGCTCACAGTATTTATTGGACACGTCTTTGGCCAAATGAAATGCGATTGCATCCGTTATTTCAGCGTGTCTTTGGGAGGTGGATGGATACGCTGTCGCGCTATGCAGGGTCGCTGTTATGGTTTTCTGGGTTAACGTTGGACATGGACGGAGATTCAGTGAGGTAACGTTAGTTTTGGCCTTAATGCATTCATCGTAGTGGTTTGTGGTGATTTTTCAGGTGGTTGAACAAGTTAGTTGTATTGCTATGCGGCGCAGACACAACTCTAACGCACTCTGTGCATATGATTTGTTCTTGGTTAACATCAGTTGCCCTAAATCCAAAAAACTTCCAGACAACGGATGATGATCCTTTTCAAGGGGCTAGCTCCTCGCCTTCTGCTCCTGACATTAGATTTACCTTTCACACGACACCCGTGACCGTCTGTTCTGTTGTCTGTCTCTCTATTCTTCTACTCGACTGCAGACAGAACTTTCTTTGAGGCTGCCGCTGCAAGGTGCGCGCATGACACCTCCCAACTCGTTCGCTCCCTGGTGGTCGGCTGACTGCTAGTTGAGGAAGAGCTTGATTTGATATGTAGCAGAGCACGTATTTTAAATGTCAATATCGCTGACGATCATGCTCATTTAATTGTGGCAGCCAAAATCGTGATCGCGATTAAAATTCGATTAATTGTGCAGCCCTAATTCACGTACACTGGGCGTGATGGTGCCGGTGTAAACAGGAAGTAGATTGGTTGCTTAGTTTAAAATAATAGGACAGAGTAATAAAGTAATCTTTAATAATGAAAGGTTGTGTTTGATACTTAAGATCTTCTCCAAAATCTTCCTCTATAAACTCAGACACATTTCGTGGAAAGTTTTAGTTAGACTTAGTTACAACGCTGCAGGTCTTGCTCTCTCTCTCTCACATGTCAAATTTACATTAAAATCAACACTTACACATAAAGGTTTACTAGATTATGGGTCCATAAATGTGGTCAACACACGTGATAGGAGCGTGGCGAATCAGGGAAGGACAGCACATTGCGTCGGGTGGGTTGCGATGTTTGAGTGCAGTGGCTCCACCAATTTCAGTTATATTTTATTTTTCAAAAGCAATTTAATATTATTCAAACGTATTGTTCGGTTCGTAATGCGTACCGAACCGTGAGCCCCGTACCGAACGGTTCAATACGAATACGTGTATCGTTACACCCCTAATGTTTATGGTTTAATTGCCACCTAGTTATGTAGAGCATGTATTTACTTTGTATTGCTATATAATTTCAGAACCACGCATATCTACATGGAAGAATTAGAATGTGTTGATTGTTTGGCAATAAATAATTGAAAAATACAGAGACATTTGTTTTATTCTTATTGAACACCCTTCAGTGGAACTGGCTTTAGTTACCACCTTGTCATAGCCTCCTTGTCTTCATCACTATATCCTCACCATTATCATTGCACCTTCATCACTGTCACTTTCATCAGCAAGCATTTTTCCATTGAAAAGACGACTATGGCCACTGTTAAAAAGACGTTCAAAATTGAAGACGTTGATTGAACATTCACGTTTAGACCACGTTTAGATCTGTAAATAAAACGTATTTAGTATTAGAAAAAAAATATTCAGTTTTTAAACTGGTCCAAACATGCTAACACATGCTAACACAAGCTAGCAGCCTTCCATTCATCGTTGGCAGCATAGAATGACACTAATGGTGCTAATTTCGGTTTTCATTTTTGGACAAACGTAGTTCAAGTACTTACAAAGTATGTAGTTAGCGTGAAACCTCATGTTTATTCCGTCATTTCATTCACTTCCCTCTGCAAGCTGAGTTTCCAGACCAGTGCATCTTTCAAAGTTGTAGAAGCAGTATAAGCCAAAGTACCTGCACATGTGTGTTCCAGCAGTAAGCACACACTCGTATTTTACATGAATGTACAGACAGAATGTAACTGCTCCTGTTACGATGTCCTGGGAGCATCTTGTTGGCAGCATACAGTCTATAGTTCCATATTTTTGATGTTTTATATGAAACATTAAATGCGTTTAAATCGCGTCTTTGCGTAAACCACATTTCACCGACCAGTCAGTGGCGGGCCGTGTATTTTATACCTAGGCCTTCAGTGCTGTCTTACTACAGTTGAACCACCTCCTAATAACCTCATTATGACGCCAGCATGACGGGATGCTTCGTCATTAACGGGCAATGCACAGTGACGGGCCGTGCATTTTATACCTGGGCCTTCACTGCTGTCCTGCAGCTGAAACACCTCATTATGACGCCACAGCTACGGTTATTATTTGTTTTGTGTAAAAATAACTGCAGAGTGCAGATACATGAATACGCCAAGAGTGTGTCTCCTCTCTTCTCTGACTGCAGTTGGGACTGCTGCACGAGGCTACTGTGAGAGTAACCGCCTGTGAGTGCTTTGGGGCGGCTCACGGCAGCACCCGTTGCTCGTTCACCACAGTGCAGAACGGTACGTGCTTTCACGTCAGAGTCAAAACACCACAAAAGTCTCCAACAACACCAGACAAACTAGATTTGTCGCTAGTAGCTTTTGACAAAAAAAGTCTCCAAGAGGATTCGGAAAGTTGCCAGGTTTAGCGAGAAAGTCGCCAAGTTGGCAACACTGGCACCGACTAAATGTGTCCCCAGCGCAACATTGGACGTAACAATAGTTCCTATCACATATTAAACCAAACAAAAATCCATCTTCATAAAAACAAGTTGTACAAATAATAATATATAAAAAAGCATATTACACTGCAGATGTAAAAACAAAAGCAGTTCACTTACCAAAGCTGCTGTTCACTATTTAAAGACAAAGTCCATCCTCCTTTCTTTGATTACAAAGAGTTTAATACCATGGTTGTACAGTACATCCGTGTGTTTTAGTTCCAGCAAGAGATCCTTCTTGTCTGTAACTGGATCAAAGATACATTTTTCAAGATGGCCGCCGAGGACAGGTGTGGTGTGTTGGGCTCCACACCAATCCTCTTATTTAACATTTTACTCCAGATTCTATTTTATTATTATTATTTTTTAGCCGATGCTTTTCAACGAAAATGCTTCAACTCAAAGAAATACTTGAATCAAAGACAATAATCAATTAAAAGGTACAGAGAGTGTTTGGACACTGTTATTCTGCTTGTGGTTTTTGCTTGTTCCACCTGCTCAAGGCCTTTGTTTGGCTGGAAATCAATCAATTATTCCTGAACATTCTGCACTTTTGAATAACTCACCGAGATTGAATTTATACAACTGAAATATATACACTAGCAAACCTTATCCTAGACCAAAAAAGTCCTTTGTCCAAGGATTAATTAATTAATGGGTGATTTTAATGTAAATTGGGAGGATAAGTCTGGAAGAAAATCCCTAAAACGTTAAATTGATTGTTTTAATATGACCCAGTTAGTGAACGAACCCACAAGCATAACCCACTCTTCTCAGTCTCAGATTGATTTGATTTTTAGCAATAAACCAGAAAGAATGAAACACACAATATGATAACCGGTATGTCTGACCATAATTTAATACTTTTATCAAGAAACTTACAAAGAAACATTTTAATATCTCTTCTACCAGAAAAGCTTATCAATTAAGAACACCGGAAGGTGACCAAAATTCATTTGAGGATGCTATACAAGGAATTGATTGGAGCAACTGTTTAATGGGTGCAAGTGTGGAGGAAGACAGCAATATCTTCGTATCCACAATACAGACCACAATTAACAGTTTCCTTAAAAAAGCCAAAATTAAACAAAATCAAGAGAACACACTTCCATGGCTAAATAGTGACATCTGGAATTTAATGAAAAAACGGGACTATGCATTAAAACTGGCGCTCAAGTCTAAATTAGGAAATGATAGGCAGAAATTCATAATGCTGAGAAACCAGGTAATGAAAGAACTTAGAAAAGCAAAAGCTAATTTTTTTATTAAGATCATTGATGAAGCAGGAGGTAATTCTAAAATAATATGGGATAATCTAAAGAAGTTAACAGACAAACAACAGCAATTCAATGAAGCAACTTAAAATGAATGTGAACGGGTGCCTGATGCAAAATGTAGTTGTAATTTGTACAGGTTTCAATTCATAGTTTATCAACTCAGTGGAAACTTTAACTCGAAGCTCCAGTATTGGTCAATTTGATCCTACACCAGTAAATGAAGGTCAACTGTGCTTCTCTATTCAGGATGTCTCTAAATCTACTGTCACCAGAGTTCTAGGCTCACTCAAGAACTCTATAGGGCCAAAGATGTTTATGGAATTGACAATATTTTTCTAAAGAAACACAAAGGCACACTTGCTCACCTGATCACAAGCATTGTCAACAAATCTCTCAGGCAATGTGTGTTTCCGAAAGGATGGAAATCAGCCATAGT